CCTGGTGGCACAGTCGTTAAGTCATTCAATTGCAAACCAAGAGGCCAGCAGTTCAAATGTCCCAGCCAGTCCACCAGAGAAAATGTGACCGTCAGCCTGGATAAAAGTATAACACCCCAGAAACCCTATGGGGCAGTTCTACTCCGTGCTACGGCTTTGCCATGAGTCAGAATTAACTCAGTGGCGGCAGACTTATTTCAGTTTGGGATAATGAGAGAATGCCTCCTAGGTAGATTTTCCATCAGAGAAATTGCATGGTGTGACTCATTGACTGAGGAAGACCAAAGAACCAATTCATTTGAATTATGGTTCTGGTGAATCATATTGCAATACTGTGAACTTCCAAAAGAATGAATGAATCTGTGTTGGAGTAAGTACAGCCAGGATGCTCCTTAGATGGAAGAGCGATGGAACTGCATCTCACATCCTTTGCACATGCTGTCAGGAGAGCTTTGTCTCCGGAAAACGACATCATGCTTAGAAAAGTTGAAGGTCATTGAAAAGGAAGAAGTCTGTCGAGCAGATGGATTGGTGCCATGGCCGCGACAATGGGCTCAGACGTAGAAATTACCATGAACATGGCATAGGTCCAGGCAGGGTTCCCCCTGTGGTAAATAGTACTGCTCTGAGTCGGACTGTCCTTGTTGGCACCTAACAGCATCTGAGCCAGCACCTAGGATAAGCTGTTTGTATGTATTTCATCCTAGACAACCTCATTCGAAAGTATGTAGAGGAGTGTTTTAGCAAAACAAATACCTGGGAGGATAAACAATTGAAAAATAAAACCTTGTTAGTATTAAAATAAAACAAAGAGTGTTGCTCGAAAATGTAAAGGAGGGGCTAAATCAAGAAACCGATTTTAACTTACAACTCATCTCGGTGTTTCTCAAAGAGATTAGAAAAACCGTATAGAAATGGAATGTTTCACCTATATCTTCACTTGTGGCAGAGAAAAAAGTGGAAGAAAGCAAACAAAGCAATGTTTTCTAAAGCGATGAAGACTTTCAAGGCCGGCGAATCTGAACCCTTGGAGAGCTACAGTGCTGGGTCAGTTAAGGCAGAGAAATGGAGCCTCTCGGGTTACTCAGGCCTGAAGCGTCAGCGTGCCAGTCAGCAGCGGCCCACTGCCTCAGCTAAACACGCTCCAGAAGCTGGTTCCTCCAAGTGAATCCGACGAGTGCTATAAACCTTCCACCCGAGAAAGCAACTCCACAGCTCGAAGCTCCAGCAGTAGCAAGAAGGATGACCATGCCCCCACAGGCAGTTCTCGCGTTATAAACACGACTCATGGCCGAGTGTGTCTGTTAGAACGTGTAGGTGGGACAGTGGGTACCAAACCTCATTGTGCGTCCATCCACGTGCTTGGAAGATGGAAACCACCAGCAACTCCCTGGAAGGAAGACTGGGCTTTCTACTCCCGTCAACAGTGTCAGTCTCAGAAACCCACAGGGGCTCACAATGAGTCAGCATTGACATGATTGAGGGCAGCAAGAGTATTTAGCCCTACTTAGTGGTGCTGCATGGTGAGCAGTTCAAATCCCTTAGTTGCTCCTCAGGCGAAGGATGAGGTTCTCTACTCCCTCAAAGGGTTTCAGTCTCAGCTACACGGAGGGGTATTTCTAGCATGTAGTAGAGGGTCGTTCTGAGTTGGAATTGACTTGATGCCCGTGAGTTTAGGTTTTTGGTAAGAAAAGGACCCCTGCTGGCAGAGCAGTTAAAATGGTTTGTTGCTAACCAGTGCTGGTGGCTTAAAGATTTACATCCTTGAAAACCTTACAGGGTCACTACGGGGTTGAGCCTACTCAGTATCAAGGAGTTTGGTTTATGTTTAGTTCGTGCAAATAAAAAGAGGCTAAAAGCGCTTTTGAGTGATTTAGAAGCTGCATGTACATCAAGTGAAGGTGATTAAGAGTTGGTTGTGGATAGAGGTTGGTCCAATCTTTACAAAGTGAGGGCAGGTTTATATAACACTAAAGGGCAAGCACTAGTTGTCTCTCTGTGGGGCTTTATATAGGCCCCGTCTGTATAAGATCTCAATCAGTTCCTTGATGGCACGTTAGTAACACAACTGCAAACGGGACTGGAACCGTTGGTTTTGAAGATGCTGGATGATAAAGAGACACATGTCAGGTAAGAGCTGGTGGTATTAGGGTTGGATTGTGCTCCACAAGAAGACTAAAGCCCTAACCTCTGGTACCCATGAACATGACCATGCTTGAAAATACAGCCTCTGATGATGCTACCCCTTAAGGTGAAGTCATGAAAGAGCAGGGTGGATCCGAATGCAATCATAGTGGTTCTTGTTAGGCACCATTGGGTTGGTTCCAAATCAAAGCAGCCCTATATATAACAGAACAAAACACTGCCTGGTCTAGCCCCAGCCTCACTATTTTTTTTAAATTTTTTATATCGAGGTCCAATTGTTGCAGTCAGTGTCAATCCATCTTGTCCAGAGCCTTCCTCTTTATCGCTGGCCCTCTACTTTACCAAGCATGATGTCCTTCTCTGGGGACTGGTCTCCCAGACATGTTCTTATAAAAGAGGAGATGAGTCAGAGAGGCAGATGGAGAAAGATAGCTGTGTAAAGACAAGGTTGTGCTGCTGCAGCAATCACAGATGGGGTGACCAAAAGCCGAGGATGATCTTCTGTAGAGCCTTGGAAGAGAACATGGCTTTGTCTACAGGTTGACTTTGGACAACTAGCTTCCAGAACTGTGAGAACACACATCTCTGTTCTTATAAGTTACTCACTTTGTGATACTTTGTTATGGCAACTTTAAGAAATTAATGCAGCATCACTGCCTTAAATATGTTTTCTTTGGAGACAGGATAATTCTTCAGTGATCTCTTCTCAATCCTAGGAAACATACTATTGCCATAAAGAACTATTAATTGGCCATTTTTGGGGAAATGGGTTTATGCTTAACTGTTGTGTTTTAAGACATTTGTCATGAAGTGAATATTATGCTGGCAAATATGAAACACAATTTTCACTCTCTGCTTGCTATTCCCTTGGTCTTTCCTATGATGTTTGGCACAGACAACATGGATTCAGATACCCTGAATTCTACAGCATAAATTTTTGCTTGGAATAAATAGAGCTTCATTTATTTTAGAATATTAGGGTGGTGCTAAAATAATATTGCATGATCTTTCAACTTTCAGTATGCTTGAAGAAGTAGAAATCCCAGGAAAGAAAATCCTGAAAAAATATATACAGATATATTAAAGGCAGCTGGTGATTCTATTATTGAAAGAAGCCCAGCCCCCTCGAACCAGTCATGTGAGTGAGTTATCTTAGCCGGGAAGGCAGGGAGATTTTGATTTTTGGTCTTTAATTTCCCTGTGAATTTAATAATGGGAGGGCTTCATCTTGTTGCAGTTTTTTAGTGATGCAGATATATTTTAAGCAGCTATTTAGACTCATTGCATAACTACTGGAGAACTATTTTTAGCATCAGTGTTTTCTCCCTCCTCTGCTTTCATTTCATGTACTTGAGAATAGTTCTGATTTCTCTTTTATGAGGGTCCTCTTCCGTCTCTTTCATTATTTCAGACTTGAAAAGAACTGCTGGTTCTGATTGTGTAGCCTCGTAGTCCTCCCTCCCTTAAGTTCCTGAATCCTTTCAATGGGTTGTGATTCAATTTAGCCTGGCAAATAAGTGTCGGTTCCCGCAAACCTGCATAGCTCAGGATCCTGAAATCCCTAAGATAGTGTCAGTGTCGAGTTTGTTCCTCTGGCAGAGATAATGAAATTGCTCAAAACTGAGATTCTTCTGCTCAAACACGGGGGATAGAGGTGATGGAGGGAAGGTGTGCAACTTCACTTAACTGCATGGAATGTTTGTGTTTCTACAGGACAGGTGGTGATAGGGACTCAGGGGACACTCTCACGGGCCATATGGCAAGTGGGCAACTGCGGCCTTTGTCATCAGCTCACCTAAATCCATCAGCTGTTACCAGAATGATCTTTTCATGTAACTCATCAAACTCTCCTGGTGCTCCACAATATTGAGACCCTACTTATTTTTGTGCTTCGGAGATTACTACACAAGATTCAAGTCAAGTTCCACTAGTAGGCTTATTTTAGTGGTTCATTCCAGCAAAAACATGTTAGGAGGTACAGATAGAAAGCATCTTCCCAGAAATCTGCCACTTCCTCTTGTTATATGATTACTCCCTAAAGGGCCAGTTCTTGGACCTCTTGTGATATTTCACTTATAACATAAGTTTCTGTATGTAACTCTTTACATATACATGTCTCACTGATTCACAATTGAAAAAGTAGTGGTCCTAACACTAATTTCAAAATTATATTCAAGGGTATATTTTGACTCATGAAAAAAACCAAAACTCCTTGTTTGCAGTACCCATATATTTATTAGGTGTTAGCAATTTTTGATAAATTTAAGTTATTAGATATTTTCTAATATTCAATTACCCTGCAACTATGTACTAAATGTTGTATCGGGTATTGTTGTAGGTCCTGTAGCCAGAATAACAAACAAATTAGACAAAAATATCAAATGGTATGGGCATTGTCACGTCTCCCAGAAAACATATGTTGAAATTCTAACTCCTGGAACTGTGAGTCTGACCCAAGTCACACTGGAATAGGGTGAGTACTAATCCAACATGACTAGTGTCATTGTAAAAGAGCAGAAGATACAAAGAGAGAGAGAAAGGTTGGCATGCGACATGGTAGCTGCAACCCAACAAATGCCCCAAACCACCAGAAACAAGAAGAGAGGTCTGGCATATATTCTCACAAAATCCCAGAGAATTACCACAGCCAATACACCGAGGTCACACTTCAACCCCACAGAACTGTGAGACAATCTTTTACTTTATTTTTTTCTGATGAACCACCCAGCTTATGGCATTTTGTTATGTCAGCCTTAAGAAATTAATGCTCTAACTAAGATAAATTTGCATTCTAGTGAAAGGCGATAGTTATTCAAACATTAGAGCCACGTACATAACAAGGCATCGTTACTGACCTCACATGAAACTTCAGAAGGAAGTACCACTGCCAATGGCTTGCTGGCCTCCAAAGCTCCTGGTAATTCTTCAGTTTCCTTTCCCTGGCCTATTTCATTAGCATGTCCCCCTGGCAGGTCTGTGGGAATGTTGGCTTCAAAGGAGTTCTCCGAACCTTGAGAAAAGTTCATGATTTTAAGTTATAATGGTAACTAAAGCAGTTTCTTTTTTCCATTGGTATAATCCCAATCACTAGCAAATAGATTTAATTAATTTAATTAATATCTTATATATAAGGTATTCAAACTAGATTCAAGCTAAATTAGGTAAATGAATGAATATTAATAATTAAGGTAATGCTTTATGTTGTAGTATTATCACATTTATGCTGAAAGTCAATATATAATAAAATGCTCATCTGCTGATCAAATATTTTCAGAAAGATAAAACCACCCTTTATATTTTCTTTTTTTAAAACAGTAAATGTGAAAAATATGAAATAGTTTCTTTCAATGGTGGATCTTATGGAAAGTTATTTTATTTTGATTCAGAATAATTAGTTATTCTATACATATATTTTTCTTTTCTGTTTTCTTAAAACAACAAACATAGCTATCAGACTAAAACTAAATTTCAGTCTATGAAATAATAGCATTCTTCAGCATATCTGTGGAAAAAGAAAAAAAAATTCTTTATGGGAGTATTACATTAAGAGCAGTTAAGCATTTTAATGTGAATTCTATATTTTAATATATGTATATATTTAAATTTAGTAACTTAAAATTGTTGTGTATTGAAAAAAGGAAAAAGGTGTGTTAAGAGAGAAGGATAAATATTGTTACTATTTCAAATCTCAGTGTTTCATTAGGGCACAGATCCAAGGTGGTTGACAACAACCAGATCACATTTATAAGCTCTTAGGCATTATTCCTTTCCACTCAAAGCATATTCCTCAACTTTCTAAGAAAACAGTTGAAAAATGAAAAGAAGCCCCGAGCAGCTAGAGGAGCCTGGTGCTGGAAGCAGACTCGGGTTGTTCAGAGTTGGCCAGGCCCTCCCAGCTACAGCGTGGTGCCTATCCAGTGTAAGCGCCAGTCCAGAATATCAATAGCAGAGAAAGGGACCAGGAGATCGCAATAGATAAAGTCAAGTCCAAGATCACCCTATGGTCACATCTGAATTCAGGCAAAAGTGGAATGTTACCCAAACCAGAAAAGTGATCATCCATCCCTAACCTGGCTACTATAAACACCAATTGAATCTTTGCCAACGGCTGCAGTAGATTCTTTTCATTTCTTTCATCTTCTAGCTAGGATGAGCCACTCTTTCCGGTTTACCTACGATTTTTTTTTATTTTTTATTTGGGCACTATACGGCCTATGTTTCAGGAATCTTCTCTAGTCAAGCAAGCCGGACAGTTGTTCACTCTACTTCCAAATAAGAGTCATTAATAGACTAATCATAAAATTACCTTTGCTTCCTGGTAGCAAGAAAAGTCCTATTTCTTTGGGACTTCTTTCAATCACTCAAGGGGAAATTAAATTCTATAATGTCCTTATTAATAGCCCTTCAATCCAACTAATTCAACTATGCATATGTTCCTGGTGGGCTTTGTCTGAGGACATGGAAGAACATTTGAAACAAGGAAGAAGGATGAGGATAAAGATTCAAAGCAATATACCTGTCAGGAGCAAGCATTTTTGTCTCATTACATTTCAAAAAGTGACGCTACCAACTTCAAATAGCCGACACTCTTCAAAAAGAAGAGTAACAAAAGGGTTATCTTCCAGACAACAGCGGACTCCATGCAATCTAAAAAGGAAGAGTAATTTCATTCTCTCTCTCTCTGTCTCGTGAAAGTTGCAGAATGAAGAAATGCAAGTCCCTAGGATTATTAAAATGTCTGTCCTCTCAGTAGTAATCTTGTTTGAAATGAAAAATAGCCTTTATTTTTTCATAATTTAACTAATTTCATAAGAAGTCCCTCTTTCCGTCACACAGATGGAGGCACACATTAAAATAGTGGAAAGTTGTATGAGAATGGGTCCAGTATTTTGTAATAGATGAAAGAACGAAGAAACTAATTTTATTTAATAAACATAAACATAAAAAGATGCACATTATTTTATAGAAGTATCCAGGATTTTCTGATTATTCTTTGGTGATACTTGGTTTATAAGAGTCATTGTAATTACCCCAAGGGCAGAATAATTATGGATATACAAACATATTTATCTCAATTGATGTTCACAGTAATACTGTTCACAACACAAAAATTGTAAGCAATAAAGAACCAGATAAAAATATGCTGTATAATTACATAATTTGGGAATAATAAGTAGTCTACCAATGGATATTTAACAAGAAACAGGATGATTATATAACTGAAATATTGAGTTATAAATATGTTAATTTATTACGTTTCTCATATTGGTAAAATGTTAAATATACATATTGAAGAAAGAAATCCAAGCTGAACTGAAGACATCAGCAAGAAACAAAACTCCAAAAATCAAACTGGCTACTATCAAATTCCTGCTTCTAGGACAGTATGGAACTGCTCTTGGGAGTTTCCGAGTCTGTAACTCTTTACAGGCATGGACAGAAAGCTCCAAGGAGCAGCTGATATTTTCAAACTGCTGAACTTGCAGATCCCATCCCATCCTGTGACCACTAAGCCAACAGAGGTCATGAGAAAAGAACATGTCATCCTGAATTGGTGGAAGACCAAAATAAATGTTTCAACAAGTCATTCACTCACTTGCCTGTCACAAGAAATTTGGAATACAGCTACCTGGTCAATTGACAGTAGGAAATCCTGATTTACTACAGTGTCCATTCCAAAGAAAGGTGATCCAAGGAAGAGGGAAATTAATGAGAAATGTCAATAATGTCCTTTGCAACTAGATTTTTAAATGATTGTAAATGTATATCAGCAAGAAGTTGCCAGAAATTCAAGCGGGATTCAGAAAAGGATGTGCATGAGAAACTATACTGGTGACATTAGATGGAATTTGGCTGGAAGAAAAGAATACACGGAAGATGTTTACGTGTATTTTATGGACTGTGCAAAGTCATATAGCAGTTTAGATCATAGCAAATTGTGAATTATTAAAGATAATTTGAATTCCAGAAAACTTTGGACTAAGAGGTAGTCACGCAAACAAAACAAAGTAATACTGCATGGTCTAAAATCAGGAGATGTAGGTGTAAAGGTTGTTTCTTTTCACAATACTTACTCAATCTGTATGTCAAGAAAATAGTTTGAGAAGCTGACTATATGAAGAACAATGTGATTGGTGGAAGATTTATTGACAACCTGTAGTATAAAGATGACACAACCTTATTTGCTCAAAGCAAGGAGCTCTTGAAGCACTTGCTCATGAAATAAACGACTGTGGCCTTTAGTATAAATTGTAACTTAACATAACCAACCCCAAAACCTCAAAACTTGACCTATAGACAACATTATGATTAATGGGGACAAGATCGAAGTTCTCAAGGATTTCATCTTGCTTGGATCCACCACCAATGTTCATGAAAGCAACAATCAAATAAGCAAATGATGTGTTGAATTGGGCATGGCAGAAGAGATGTCATTGGTGATGTCAGATGGAGCTTGACTGAAAGCAGAGAATACTAGAAAAATGTTTGTTTCCTCAACTATGCAAAGGCTTTCAACTCTGGATCACAACAAACTAGAAATAGCTTTAAGAAGAATGGGAATTTCAGAACGCTCCATTGTGCAATCCAGAGCCTGTACATGAATCAAGACACAGTTGTGTGACGAGAGTAAAGGAATACTGCATGGTATAAAATCAGAAAAGATGTGCTTCAGGGTCGTATCTTCTCACTAAATTTATTGAATCTATAAACTGAGAAAATAATCAGAAAAAATTGGATTATATGAAGAAGAATGTGGCATCAGGATTGAAGGGAAGCTTATTAACAACCTTTGATATACAGATGACATAAACTTGCTTGCTAAAAGCAAAGAGGACTTGATTTTATATGCTGATGGAGATCAAGGATGGAAGCCTTCAGTATGGATTACAACTCAATGTAAAGAAGGCCAAACTCCTCACTACTGGACCAATAAGTAACATCATGATAAACAGAAAGGATTGAGGTGGCAAGGATTTTGCCTTGCTGAATCTTCAATCCTTGTTCATGGAAACAGCAGTCAAGAGATCAAAAAACAAATTGCATTAAGTAAATCTGCTGCACAAAACCTCTTTAGAATATTGAAGAGCAGCAACATTACTTTGAAGACTAAGTAAGGTATTCCTGACTCAAGCCATGATATTCTCCATTGCGTCATAGGCATTTGAAATTGTACATTGAGTAAGGAAATTGGAGAAGAATGGATGCATTTTAATTTTGGTGCCGAAGAAGGCTGTTGAAAGGATCATGCAGAAGAAACTCACCAGCCTGTGTGATCATGAGGTGTCGATGGGATCAGACGTCAGTCATCAAAGACTCAGAACAAAAAAAAACATGTCACTGTGAATGAGGGTAAGGGTGAAGTGGAGACCCAAAGCCCAGCTGTAGACAATTGGGTCCCAAGGAAGAGACAAACCAGCCAGGGTGCAGTATGGCACCTATGAAACGTACACATTTCTTCCAGTTGTTTAATGCTTTCCCCTTCCACACTATGGTGGCCCCAATTCTACCTTACAAATCTGGCTAGACCAGAGCGTGTATGCTAGTACAGATATGAGGTGAAAACACAGGGAATTCAGGACAGATAACCCCCTCAGCACCAACAATGAGAGTAGTGATACCAGGAAGGTAAAGGGAAGGCGGGGGTAGAAAAGAGGAACCAATCACAATGACCTACATATAACACCCTCCCAGGGGGATGGACAACAGATAGGTGGGTGAAGGGAGACATCGGTCAGGGTAAGACATGAAAAAAAATTATACATTATCAAGGGCTCATGGGGAGGGAGGGGGCAGGGGAAGAATAGCTGATACCAAGAATTCAAGTAGGGAGAAAATGTTTTGAAAATGATGATGGCAACAAATGTACAAATGTGCTTGACACAATATTTGTATGCATGGATTATTATAATACTTGTACAAGCCCCCAATTAAAAAAAAGAAAGAAATAAAATATCATGGAACACTAAAAGTACTAAACAAATCTGTCTTGGAAGAAGGATGGTCAGAGTG